ACAATCATAGAGCGGGTTTAGTGACGGCTATTAGGGGCAGATAATTTAGTTTGAAACGATTTTAAACAACTAAGAGAAGGCTGCTTTCACTGGTTGGGGGGGGGGGGGGGGGTGGAGGGGGTGTAGGGTAGGGGTTGGGGGAAAGGAGGGTGGGGTAGTATTGTCCTTCGACCTACTGATAGTGTTTTAAAGCAAATATTTTCAGTGGCAGCATTGGTACTGTCGAATTCACAAATTATGAATTACTGAAAAGTAGAAAATAAAACAACTAAATAGCGGCGTATGATATGCCGCGGGTCGGCTCAAGTCTTTATATTTTTCAAACATGACTCAACTGTCATAGTGAGATCATATAAGTAAAGAAATAAGCCAAAGTTACAACAGGGATGTTAATGAGATGTGAGGTGTAAGCTACAGACGCCTGAGATGGTAATAAAACATCAAGTAGAAGCCACATAGTAAAAAACACATTCAAAAAAAGTTAAAAAGACAGAGCAGCCGTCAGCCGGATGTCAGCAATGATTGTAGTAGCCACACAATTTGATTGTTTCAAACAACTTTAGTTCAGTCTAACACTTCAATGGTGGCTCTAATGACTTTAGTTCAGTCTAACGCTTCAATAGTGGCTCTAACAACTTTAGTTCAGTCTAACACTTCAATGGTGGCTTCCATTGAAAGTTAGCCTCATATTTTTAATCAAGTGACTACTATGCGGAACTTAAAAAAGCAGAGCTTAAAAGTTACAAAGTAGGTTCTGTCAAGTTCTTGGTAACAGCTCTTCCGTAAACCGTAAAGATTAAGTGAGACTAATTAAGAGTAGGCCTATAGACTATTACATTTTTTATTTTTTTACAATTAAAATTTTATCAAAGTCCCTAAATTAAAACTTAAGAGTAGAGGGTTAATTCCAACACATCCATCGTTAGGTTAAGTGACAGAATATTTTATTTAAAAATCAGAGAGAAAATCTAGTAAATTAGAGTAGATTCCCCTGAAATTTTAACTATAGGCCTTAAGGTAAATCCTTAGTTTAGCGTTGGTTATTATCCCAGAATGGTAGAGTAGTAAAAAAACAGTAAAACAATGGCAAAGTGTCACACAGAACTGTAATTTTTATTTGGCGTCATCTTTTATTTTTTAATACAGAACGTTTATAATTTGGATAGATTTATTTTAATTGCGTGTTAAATACTGCTTTACTAATCATTTTGTATAAAAAGTTATTTTTAAGTGTTTCAGATAAATATTTCTGCTACTAAACATTGCTTAACAGGGTTTGTATGCAGTCTGGAAAAAGTCTTGAATTTAGAAAAGTGAATTTCAGACTTTAAAAAGTCTGGACGGGTCTACACTGTGGTATGACATTTTTCTCAGCTATAAGCACTAATAATAGTGTAGTTACAAAGGTCTGGTTTCATTTTCAAAATAGGGTATAAACCCTGATCTAGTCACTTGTACTATTTTTGTAATCATTTTTACTATTTTTGTAAACTAGATTTTTTTTATTACTTGGCCTAGCAGCTAGCTAGATCCAGATCTTATTAATGGTCGCAAATCCGCTGCAAGCCAAAAACATCAAACAAATTATTATATTTGACTTTATTATTTATATTTAGGGTAAAGCAGGGCACTAAGAGCTGAAGGGTATTAGGAACCAATCACCACCCCACCCCCACAAAACTGATTTTCTTTGATAACAGAGAAGCAGAGGATTCATTTTATGTCATTTATGACCTACTTGGCCTAGCAGGGAGCAGATGAGACAGGAATTAATTCCACTGCTCTTTCCCTAAAATTTCTCATCTCCATAGATCTAGAATCTGCTACTTAAATTATTTTTAAAAGTTTATACACGCATGTAGTTGATATTATTGAAGTAGAAGGCTTTAATAAATTACTAAGGCCTACCTACCTTGTGTCTTTTTACAGTAATATGTATCTGATACTGGACCGAGTTTAATTAAAATTAAATGCATATCTAGTAGGCCCTAATTGGTCTACTAAGTTTATGTAGCCTAGTAGTAGAATCTAGATCATACCAGCCAAAACAACAAATAACCACATTATTATTATTTTTTTTTTTAAATCCACTGTTTAGAAAGAAACAAATCAAGCTAGAAACATTATAAGTGAGATGGTTTAGAATAATAACTAGGATTAGTGCTTTCCCGCCTTGTAGTTTGTTCTTGGTTGGACAAAGGCTATGGAAGCAAATCCAAAAAGAAAAGCAGGCTGAAATCGGAGTCAATGGCCTCAATGGCGCATAACCAGTTGACACGTAACGCTTAATTGTGTTGGAGGCGTGGTTGAGTCGGCAAAAAGCTCATCGTTGATAAATTCGAACAAAGTCTCGAGTTCAAACCCACTGGCAGATAAATCTCGATCCCCTTCAACACTAATAATTAAGAACGAAGAAGAAGAAGTGCTTTCCCCTGATGAGCCATGTGTGCTATAAATGACATGGAGGTGAGAAATGTTATGGGGAGAGCAGTGGGACTGATTTCCCCTTTGTTCTCCCTGCTGGGCCCTGAGGGTCATAAATTATATAAGAGATGCTATCTCTGGTTGGCTGAGGGTCATAAATTATATACGAGATGCTATCTCTGGTTGGCTGAGACCTAAGAACAGTAATCCCTGTGGGGCCTTGGTATCACAGAGGTGAGAAATTTTCAGGGGAGGGCAGTGGTACTGACTCCTCTTTGGTCTCAACCCTGCTGAACCATGATGGTCATAAATTACATAACATACTATCTCTGCTGGGCTAGGTTCTAAGAACAGTAATCCATGTTACCTAGAAAGAGATGAAGTTTTATTGTGGGCTAGAAAGAGGTGGGGGCTGGCCATCATGGAGGTTAAGAAATTTTGAGGGTGGAACATCAGCATTAATGAGTCTGATCACTTCCCTGCTGGATTATGAGGGTCTTAAATTATATGCCACCCAGAATGGCTGAGATCTAAGAACAGCAGTGATTATTACCCATGAATTATATTAGCAGTTTTAGTGTGGGTTTTGTAGGAGTTAAGTGGTCATACGTTTGCTACAGTAGTGTGGTTGTACTAGATCTATTGCTACTAAATCTTGTACATAACTAGAGTATCTAAAATCTACACTAACCAGATCTAGATAACCTATAATTAAATATATTACTGCATTTTATCAGATTCGTCTACTCAAACTCTAAACGCAAATAGTATTACTAACAATATTTTTATTTTCGACCACATATTTATATTATCCACGAAACTGTCAATAACAATAAAAGGATCTTCAATTCCTAAGAGCTCAAATTTTTTAACGTATTGTTCCTTTTCCGCGGTTCTTTACATCAAGTGAACGCGTCCAGTGCTGACGAACAGCTGATTGTGTTAACGTCCGGTATACACCACCGTGGCAATGAACATAGGTATCACATGATTACGGTCACGTGTTTGCAAGGACTCTATACTAATGTGCCTAAACTACTAGACTGTAGGCCTATGTAGACCTGCAATTGTATCAATTGTGGACTGGGTCCAATGGGGCCTATAGTTATAGCTGGTATCATTTAATGTGTGTGTACAAAGCATTAACTATTTTGGGGGTTAGAAATTAATTATTTTTATTGTGGAGTTAGCCTAAAATAAGAGATAATTCTTAATGCCCCTTGGACCGGCTACATTTGCCCCAAATGCTCATTTACTGATTTAGGGAGTTTGGTTATAATTGCTGAATTTGGGGGTATGGCCATAAATGCTAAATTAGACCAATTTACAGAAAATTTAATAGCCTTTATTATTATCATTACGAAGTGACTAGTCGGAAAAAGATTTTTCTCCCCAACGTCTCCACTTAGTCTGCAAAAGATAGTTCTGCGCATGCGCAGTGATCTATGACTAGGGTTAGAATTAGGGTTAGGTATAGGATTAGGGCTATGATTAGGATTAGGGATAGGGTTCTGCGATTGTAAACACACGCATGCGCAGTACCATCGAAAACATCGCCGCGATGGTAAGACATAGTTTCTCTCCATTGTGCATGCGTATCTTTTTCCCGCTAGCATCAGCCTTATTATTATTATATTGTGAAAGATGTGTTAGAATATTTTTGCATTAATTTCAATATTAGAAAATACTTGGATTAGTAAAAATTACTAAAAATCTTAAAAAATGTTCAGGTGCTAAAACTACTAAAAAGTGTGGCTCTTAGTCAGTCTTAGTGCCCTTCTTTACCCTATATTTACCATAGGAATACATATTTTTTTAAATTTTTGTTTCATGTCACCTACTGTCCATCCCAGGAAACGGTAAAGGCTGTGCTCCTTTTTGAAGTTCCAGTGCTATTTCAATTTCAAATTTGATACCATCTACAGGAGCTACTATTTCTTGCATTCTCAGCAAATAAACTCAACCTATAACCCTAGAATTTAAAATATGGATTCTAAATCTAAAATAGGTTCTAACAGTTCTAACAAAAGGCTATAATTAATTAATTATAATAATAATACACTCTACAGTTAACTAAAGTGTTAACGCTTTACTATAGAATACTATAGATCTAGAATAGATCTTAAGCCTAGAGTAGGCTAGTTTTCCCTAAATTAGGCTAATAGAGTTGTCCTCCTTGTCTAAAAAAGTTGGAACGTTTCGCAGATCCGGATCTATTTATTTAAGTTAGGCCCTATAAAATAATCTAGATCTTGTTCAGGTTCTAGTTTCTAGATCTAGAATACCTCTAGATTAAGATCTTGATCTAAATCTATATTAAATATTATTAGGTCATAGAATCTAATATATAGGCCTAAGTTATAGTTATATACCATTGACTCCATAATATCTTGAACTTGATCTATAGTCTATAGGCCTAGGCCTAAGTTGAAGTAATAAGTAATAGTTAGGCGTTAGGCCTATTACTAACTTTTAAGTTTTATTTATTAGTATTAATATTATTAGTTAGTATTTTAGTATTTGCTATTTAGTAGGCATTAGGCCTAATTAGTATTAACTAATTATTATTAATAAGTATGCCCTATTCTATTTATTAGAATTAGTCGGAGTGCTAGATCTACATCTAGATCTAGATATTTTACTTTAGACTAGAGTACTAGAGTAGAGATACTTTAGAATTTAGATTACTTTAACTTTAGATTTTAAATTTTTTTGATACTACTAGTTTAGTCAAGTGTATTAGTGTAAGTACTAAATTACTAACTAATCTAATACTACAACTACAGACACAGTTCTTTGTCAGTTTAGTGAACGAAACTTCTTATCCATATTCTATCACACTCTTTAAAATGAACGAATGCGCCATAGCGCTACTGGGATACACCTGGGTGCCAAATTGCAACCTGCCGGGTGTCAGCAAACGCGTCTCATTCAGTTTAGTGAATGACTAAATGCCCCATCTTATTCAGTCTATCGCACTATTTAACAATATCGTAGTTGCCATAACGCTCAGGGGGGTGACCCGTCAAAAGAGCGCACGACAAAAGAGCGCCGACATAAGAGCGCAGACAAAAGAGCGCCGACATAAGAGCGCAGTCAATTAAAAAAACCCATGTTGTACGCTAAACGAATAGGACATGGTTAACAATTGTTTTAATTAAACAATCGGCGAGAGAACGTCTTTATTTATATATTATGGTTAATATATTGTTATGAATGCAGTTTGACAATATTTCTAATCCAAGTCACACGGAGAAGATCGAATCACAGAAAGGGAAGGTTATTATATTGGTCGAGGGCTACAGATATAGACAGGACAGAGCAAATGCTGATGGAACTTATTTTTATTTTGTTACATTTCATTTCAGTTTATATTCTCACTTTAGGCCTAACATTTAAAATCTTTGTATGTATTATTAGATTGAGTTTTGAATAATTGGACTTCACGTTGATTGTACCAGTTTTTTAGTTAAAGAAACTGAACAATTAGTTTTTTTAATGAAACAATAAAGAGTTAACATCAAACGATGCCTTCTAATCTGAGTTAATTTTCTTGTTTTTATTTATTAAATATGGTTTTTCGATTTTTAGTTTGCGCTCTTATGTCGGCGCTCTTTTGTCGGGGCTCTTTTGTCGGGAAATTAGTGCGCTCTTATGTCGGCGCTCTTTTGTCTGCGCTCTTATGTCGGCGCTCTTTTGTCTGCGCTCTTATGTCGGCGCTCTTTTGTCGTGCGCTCTTTTGACGGGGTGCCCGCTCAGGGGATAACCCGGCACTAAATCGCACCCTGCCGAGGCGCCACCCCTGCGAATTTGAAATTTTTTTTTTATGCAGAAACCTTCCCAAGAGTATTCACAACAACTTCCCAAAGTTTCATGGCGATCGGATGAACAGTGTCGAACCGCAATCCACTTTTTATTTTTTTATACTATAAATATAATTTTTTTAATACTATATATACATAGAAGAATCGCACCCTTCCGGGGCGCCGCCCTTGTGAAAAAACAAGTAGAGAAAAAACAAATCACGCACTGCCGAGGAGCTACCCCTGCGAATTTGAAATATTTTTTTTTGCAGAAAGCTCCCCAGGAGTATTCTCAACAACTTTGCAAAGTTTCATGGTGATCGGATGAAAGGTGTATCTATATATATAAAGCAAAGTGGTAGTGTGCCCGATAGGGCGCTTCCCGGCGCCGCAGGCCCATCAAATTTGGTAGGATGATGCCTTGGGGCAATAGAACACGAAAGCTTGTGCCAATTGGCCGCAAACTCCACGGCGAGGGGGTCAAAACTTACCTCTACTGATCGGCGCCTTACATGGGCTATATTACGAAAAAAACTTTTGCCCAACGACCCCCTTAATATTTGTGAGGTGGTAGAAGAATGCCTAGGGGTGTCAGAAAAAACTCGCCACATCCAGGAAAATTCTGGAAATGGGTCAAAACTGACCAGTCGTATTTCCCCATGTAATCTTTGTATTTCATGGGAAAAACAGAGGGTAATTTCAACACGGATTTTAGGGCACTTATCCTCTGTACATCTGGCTAATTTTTTGCATGCTCATAGGTAAATGGCTATGCCATACGGACAAGATGTCGGTTTGACTCAAAGCCCTTCGACGAGGGCTAAAAAGTGACCGCAAGTGAAAATCTCTTTATATAAGCTATATTACAAAAAAAAACTTTTGCCCAACGACCCCCCCCCCTTGATATTTTTTGAGGTGGTAGGAGAACGCCTAGGGGTATCAGAAAAAGCTCACCACATCTGGGAAAATTCTGCAAATGGGTCAAAACTGACCAGTCGTATTTCCCTATATAATCTTTGTATTTTATGGGAAAAACAGAGGGTAATTTCAACACAAATTTTAGGGTACTTAACCTCGATATATCTGGCTAATTTTATGCATGCACCTCTATAGATGACTAGGCCGTATGGAAAAATTGTTTGTCAGACTCCAAGCCCTCGACGATGGCTAAAAAATGACCGCTAGTGAAATTCTCCTTATATAAGATTTATTTAAATTAATTGACGAACGACACCCCCCCCCTAATATTTTGTGAGGTTTTAGACCGACACCGGAGGGTATCAACATTTTTTTTACTGTCGTTAGATTTGTCCAGCAGACGTAATTTCTTATATAAACAATTGCTTGTGAAAACGTTAACAAACACTATGTCATTCGGTCTTTGTACTGGGGAGGTAACTTATTAAAATAACATTTTTAAAAGAACAAAAATTACAACATATAGCATTCGTTTAAATAGATATTTCTTTATTAATTAAAGTATTTATTTTACTAAAAATGTAAACATTAATAGCGAAACTGAATTTATTTGAATTTTTTGTTTATACTGTTCAGGAAGCCTTTGCAGTTCTAATAACCTTGCTAGTAAAAAGCTTGCGAATACTACACGCATGTTTGCATGACATGAAATTACTAAAGTCTCTTTAAACATAGGTCCTAAGCACTCTACATAACAGCCAATCACCAATAAATCATTCAAATCCTCAATATCTTTATTTTAAAACCTAAGCAAAGCTAGGCAGTATGCCTGGTTAATGCATAAAAGACAGATAAACAAATAAACAAACACACATACATTGCTTTATATATATATATATATATATATATATATATATATATATATATATATATATATATATATATATATATATATATATATATATATATATAGGTAGGGACCTAATAGTTAAATATTAAATAGATCTATAGTTATATTAAATATACATTATTAAGAGGAAGTTAAAACCCCAAATTTAAAACAGCGAGTTAGGAAAATTTTAAGTGTTTAGTAAATAGTATATAAAATTAGGAAAAAACCACAAAAATCTCTAGAATTTCATGATTATATCTAAAAATTGACAAAAATATTGCACTTTTAGGGTCATAAAAACTCAAATTCATCATTCAGTAAGGTATGCAGAAAATAAAATTTATTTAGGCAGAACGGCATAAATTTTAACCACATATAATATACATTAATACAAACATTTTAGACTATAATCATTATAAAAAAAATTTGACCAATTTTTTAAACATGAGACTTAAAAACTTGTAAAAAAATAAAGTTTTAATAATGCAGAACTGATTGCAGTCTATTTTTTAAAGCAGTGTTTAGTGAGCATGTGTACAAATTTTTAATGAAATATCTCATGTAGATTTTAGGTAAATGTTGCTAATGGGTACTATTTTTTTTTATAAAAAGTGACATTTTGAGAAAATGAGAAATAGTGAAAATATGCAATTTTTGAGAAAAATGAGAAAAAGTGAAAACTACAAAAAAATTAATATTTTAAACCTCCCAGTTATAAAAGTTGCATCTGGGACCACTATCTTAGCCGATAGAAAAGCTTTTTAAGTTGTTTTTTATTTTTTTTTATTTTTAGGTTGCTTAATTATGCAAAATATAGGTGAATTTAGTCATTACTCTAATTGATTTAAAAAATTATAAAACATACTACCAACATTTAATCAAGCAAAATAATTAGACAAAACTGCTCAGAATTGAATGTAGTTTTAAAAACAATAATTGTTGAAAAATTGAAATTTCTGATTTAAAAGAGTATTTTATGGGGTTTAAACTGCCCTAAATGTAATATTCTTGTTATAGTAGTAGTAGTAGGGTTAAAATAGTTATTATTTTAGTTATAGTAGTTAAAAGTTAAAGTAGTTATGTTTTAGTGACAGGTACAGTAGTTAGAAACTTTACTACTTAATATAATTATATTAGTTAATTAAGTATAGATATTAGCTTAATTAGGATAGTATAGAATTGGGCTTAGCCTGCCTAGGCCTATATACTGCTATAGTTATAGTTATAATTAATGTTGGGCCTAAGCCTATAAGGTACCAGATCTAGATACTGTAGAACAGTATAGAAAGACCATTGATTTGACCACCTTTATAGTGTAGAGTGTGCTGTATTGTATAGGGTAGTGGGTAGACTGTAGAGAATATAAAATTTATAATAAAGGCCTAAATAATAAATATTAAATAATATTTTCTATTGAATACTATAAATAGAGATCATCATACTACTATACTCATAAGGCTATTACTTATTACTAAGTTATTAGGCCTACTTAAAATTACATAGTTAGTATGAAGGGATTAAAATATTAAGAGAGAAATCACACAATGTACCTTTACGACAATCACAGTCCACTTCTGAAATTTAAAAAAATGAATGTTCACCACAGCAACTATACACATGATGAATGCGTAGGTAGTGTTGACTCTATTCGTGACGTATGTGTGCCCTGACTGCAAGTGTTGTATAATCAGAGATGTGACCAGACCATGAAACAAAAAAGAAATTTTTTCTGACAAGAACTCATTATGTTTTATCTATTGGTAGTTAAAGCAGTCTCAGCCTTTTCCTTAGCAGTAAGTTTCACTGCTGTAATTTTCTGGCAAATAATTACTTAGAATAATACTATGTAAAATAATTGTATACCCTAATACTTAATAGGATTAGTTTTCAACAACACAACTTGAAAGCTTTGATTTCATTAGTTATGATATCTGGTACATCACAAATTTAAATTAACTGCACCTAGTGGACAATGAACAATGAAATAGCTTTGCGCACCAGCAAAGGAGAATATTTGCCAGGAGAAACAGTTTATGGGTAAAATAACATCTCTCTGATTTTGAAATGTATAATTACTTTTGTAGTAACGTACTTAATGAACATTGTATTGGATATTTCACATTTATCAAGTTTCTATTGTCTCCAGTATTTATGTTTGTATTGTTTGTTTTAGTACTGTATACCTTTTTTTTGCTGTAAACCATATTTGTTTTAGTGCTGTATATCTTCCAATTTGTTTTAGTGCTGTATATCATCTAATTTGTTTCAGTGCTGTATATCATCTATTTGTTTCAGTGCTGTATATCTTCTAATTTGTTTCAGTGCTGTATATCATCTAATTTGTTTTAGTGCTGTATATCTTCTAATTTGTTTCAGTGCTGTATATCATCTAATTTGTTTCAGTTCTGTATATCATCTAATTTGTTTCAGTGCTGTATATCATCTAATTTGTTTCAGTGCTGTATATCTTCTAATTTGTTTCAGTGCTGTATATCATCTAATTTGTTTCAGTGCTGTATATCATCTAATTTGTTTCAGTTCTGTATATCATCTAATTTGTTTCAGTTCTGTATATCATCTAATTTGTTTCAGTTCTGTATATCTTCTAATTTGTTTCAGTTCTGTATATCATCTAATTTGTTTCAGTTCTGTATATCTTCTAATTTGTTTCAGTTCTGTATATCTTCTAATTTGTTTCAGTGCTGTATATCATCTAATTTGTTTCAGTGCTGTATATCATCTAATTTGTTTCAGTGCTGTATATCATCTAATTTGTTTCAGTGCTGTATATCATCTAATTTGTTTCAGAGCTGTATATCATCTAATTTGTTTCAGTGCTGTATATCTTCTAATTTGTTTCAGTGCTGTATATCTTCTAATTTGTTTCAGAGCTGTATATCATCTAATTTGTTTCAGTGCTGTATATCTTCTAATTTGTTTCAGTGCTGTATATCTTCTAATTTGTTTCAGTGCTGTATATCTTCTAATTTGTTTCAGTTCTGTATATCATCTAATTTGTTTCAGTGCTGTATATCTTCTAATTTGTTTCAGTGCTGTATATCATCTAATTTGTTTTAGTGCTGTATATCATCTAATTTGTTTCAGAGCTGTATATCATCTAATTTGTTTCAGTGCTGTATATCATCTAATTTGTTTCAGTGCTGTATATCATCTAATTTGTTTCAGTGCTGTATATCTTCTAATTTGTTTCAGTGCTGTATATCATCTAATTTGTTTCAGTTCTGTATATCATCTAATTTGTTTCAGTGCTGTATATCTTCTAATTTGTCGTCCAACTGAGGCCAATGGTGTGATTGTTTCTTTTAAAGGAATTGAGACATGTATGTTGTATGCCTTTTATAAATACAAACTTTTGCTACTTTTTAATATATTTAATGAGAAATCTACTGAACATGTATCAGTTGGAAATTATTTAATATGACTTCATTTCTTAATTTTTTATAACAGGTATTTATGAGTATGAGTTTGATGGTAAGAAAACACTGAGAAATGATACAATTCATGTGGATTTCTCTAACATCAGTTTGTTCTCTCAAACAGGTCAGTAGAATGCTTTCTTTTAGTCAGTCCAACTCATCCATTCATCTGTCTTTAAAAATATAAAATCCGCTTCAGTCTTTTAAAATATATCAAATTTAAATTCTCACTGACCCTAACTCATTAGTAATTCACTCCTGACCATCTGCAACTTGAAATTAAGAAACATCATTCCTAATGTTACATTATGTCTTTTTACTGATTGGTTACGTCCCTTGAATGTTCACTGTGAAATGCGTCATGTGTAGCTATAGTGTAGCTGTGAGTTAGTTAACTGTAAGCAGAGCCAGAGACAAATCAAGGCTTTTCTAGTGTAATACAGTTTCCAAGTTAACTGAAGAACTGTGTCTGTCCAAGTATTGGTCTCGTTGAGTAAAACGCAAAAAAAAAAAAATGGAAACCCGTCATTACTATGACGACTGTTAAAAAAGAAGGTCAAGTGACAGTCTACTTTTTATGAAGAGAACTACACCTTATACAGAGATATAGCTACATTCCTTATACAGAGATATAACTACATTCCTTATACAGAGATATAACTACATTTCTTATACAGAGATATAACTACATTCCTTATACAGAGATATAACTACATTCCTTATCCTTGCGCTTACTCACACTGCCCCACTATGCCACTACACACACCTTGCCACTACCCACACCTTGCCACTACCCACACCTTGCCACTACCCACACCATGCCACTACCCACACCTTGCCACTACCCACACCATGCCACTACCCACACCTTGCCACTACCCACACCTTGCCACTACACACACCATGCCACTACCCACACCTTGCCACTACCCACACCTTGCCACTACCCACACCTTGCCACTACCCACACCTTGCCACTACCCACACCTTGCCACTACCCACACATTGCCACTACCCACACCTTGCCACTACCCACACCTTGCCACTACCCACACCTTGCCACTACCCACACCTTGCCACTACCCACACCTTGCCACTACCCACACCTTGCCACTACCCACACCTTGCCACTACCCACACCTTGCCACTACCCACACCTTGCCACTACCCACACCTTGCCACTACCCACACCTTGCCACTACCCACACATTGCCACTACCCACACCTTGCCACTACACACACCTTGCCACTACCCACACCTTGCCACTACCCACACCTTGCCACTACACACACCTTGCCACTACCCACACCTTGCCACTACCCACACCTTGCCACTACCCACACCTTGCCACTACACACACCTTGCCACTACCCACACTTTGCCAGGGGACGTACTCTGCACCTCTGCTGTAGTGTAACCAACATCCCCAAGAGTGTTCCCCTATGTCACTGACACCTGGATAGTCGCTGAAGTGTGTAATACCTCACTATTACTGAAGTGTGTAATACCTCACTATTACGGAGAGTGATTAACATACACTCAAGGTTTTCATGCGGCACTCCCTGGGGCATGCTGGGCGATAGTGTAGGCAAACCTCTTGCCCCGACAAATATGATCCAAGAAATATAGCGCAGACATTATTTCTATTTAAATAACTCAGTTTTAGAAAACAAGGTCATGCGTCTGAGAATATAGGATTGGTAACGCATTGATGAAACCCTCTTAAAATATTATGTCAGATATTTTTTTAGACTGACCACAGCAATGCACAGGGACGGGCATGCTAGTTCATTCATAATTATTCACAAGCTTTTAAATTTAATTAAATATGATAACAAGGTTTTAAATTAGTTTCTAGTAGGTGGTGTCTGGTAGGTAGTATCTAATAGTGGTATTTGAGTCAGCTTTCTGATTAGTAGTCAGCAAAATTCCTTTATATTTTAGGGTCAGTTATTCTCTTTTAAGTAAATTTTGCTGAGTGTTATAGTAATTTTTAAAAAATAAATAATAATAATAAATTAAAAAATAATTCAAAGTTCATCTGACTTGAATTCTGTGATTGAAAAATGTTTCTACTGTCTTGTAGAATCTTTCCAGTTTGGTGCCTATGTCTTCCCTTTTAGAATTCAGCTGCCAAAAACAATACCAGGTACAGCTTTGAACCATTCATGTCAAAATTTTGCAACACTTACTAAAACCTCATTTGATTTATATTTTGTTCTGACTTACTTTTTGTTAGAATTTAAATACAAACTCTACCATTCTTAGGTACATTTCAATGCACTGGCAAAACAGAACGTGCTCTTTGGAATATTGATGTGTCGTATACACTGCGAGCTCAAGCAGTGGGAGCAGATGGGATCATGGTGTGTCACTTTCTTTATTTCTTTCTTTGGTTTTAGATGGGATCATGGTGTGTCACTTTCTTTATTTCTTTCTTTGGTTTTAGATGGGATCATGGTGTGTCACTTTCTTTATTTCTTTCTTTGGTTTTAGATGGGATCATGGTGTGTCACTTTCTTTATTTCTTTCTTTGGTTTTAGATGGGATCATGGTGTGTCACTTTCTTTATTTCTTTCTTTGGTTTTAGATGGGATCATGGTGTGTCACTTTCTTTATTTCTTTCTTTGGTTTTAAATGCACGAGATGACAACATCAATTTGATCTTGGTTACAGGTGTCCCAACAGATTGTTGTTTATCAAGCTGAACAAAAAGATATAGAAGACAATTTTGTTGGGAGTGCAGCTGATAAAAGTTTTCAAACTTCTTGGTTCCCAATTCAAAACAAAAAACTGCATCTTACTGTCAGGTCAACTATTGATTTGATTGAATAGTTTTATTAATGTTCTAGTTTTTAAACTGTAGAATGGCATGAGATTATTGAGACAATTCTTAAACTAAATGATAGTCACACATTTTCTCTCAAATTTTCTTTAGACTGGTTGAAAATTGGGTTGAAACTGGATCAAATCTTCAACTGAAGCTCATTGTATCCAATCCAAGTAGAAAAAAAGTCACAGGGTTTACTATAAAGGTAATTCTTGAACCCTGACCCACAGGGTTTACTATAAAGGTAATTCTTGAACCCTGACCCACAAGCATTTCTAGAAAGTTAGTTAAATTATTCAGTGTACATAAATGAATCATCTATTTAGATGATCTTTAATACTGATCTTTCCATCCTGACCATGGAATGTGTGTGTGGGGGGGGGGGGGGTCATTTCGACAGGAGTAGAGAGAGGTGGGTCATGTAGACAGAAGTAGAGAGGGGGGGCTCATGCGGACTGGAGGACTTTATTCATTGGTTACACTTTCTAGTTACTAGTTTCAGTTTTTACATTGAATCTATTCTTCCTTTAGCTATTGCGCTACTTAAAGCTTGCCATTAGAGACAATGACTCTAAGACAAGAAAAGTCTTGGATAACATGGAATTTTCTGAGGATGAAATCATTATTGCTCCAGAATCTGGCCCTCATTTAATTAGTAGTTTGTCAGGGGAATCTGATCTACTAATGAATGGAAAGTAAGTTATTCTATATATCTCACTAGTTCCTTTCTACATTATAATTATAGGACAGCAAGTTATTCTATATATCTCACTAGTTCCTTTCTACATTATAGGACAGCAAGTTATTCTATATATCTCACTAGTTCCTTTCTACATTATAGGACAGCAAGTTATTCTATATATCTCACTAGTTCCTTTCTACATTATAGGACAGCACGTTATTCTATATATCTCACTAGTTCCTTTCTACATTATAATTATAGGACAGCAAGTTATTCTATATATCTCACTAGTTCCTTTCTACATTATAGGACAGCAAGTTATCTATATATATAATTCTCTTCTGGGATCAGTTAGAAAACAAGCTGCAAGCGCGCCTTTGCAGTCCCCTCTCTTCCTCTCTATCACTATCACTACCACCCCCACCCCACCCCCACATGATCTGGTGAGCGGTGTTCACTCTGTTTACATTTTACAATCATAGAGACGGGTTTGGTGACGGCTATTAGGGGCAGATAATTTAGTTTGAAACGATTTTAAACTTAGAGGAGGTAACTAAGAGGAGGCTGCTTTCACGTGGGGGGGGGGGGGGGTAGTGTTTTTAAGCAAATATTTTCAATGGCAGCATTGGTACTGTTGAATTCACAAATTATAAATTACTGAAAAGTAGAAAAAAAACAACTAAATAGCGGCGTATGATAAGCAGCGGGTCGGCTCGTTCTATATATCTCACTAGTTCCTTTCTACATTATAGGACAGCAAGTTATTCTATATATCTCACTAGTTCCTTTCTACATTATAGGACAGCAAGTTATTCTATATATCTCACTAGTTCCTTTCTACATTATATGCCACATCATCCACTCATCTGTCATCCACTCACCTACAACATCATCCACTCACCTACAACATCATCCACTCACCTACAACATCATCCACTCACCTACAACATCATCCACTCACCTACATCATCCACTCACCTACAACATCATCCACTCACCTACAACATCATCCACTCACCTACAACATCATCCACTCACCTACAACATCATCCACTCACCTACAACATCATCCACTCACCTACAACATCATCTACTTACTTACAACATCATCCACTCACCTACAACATCATCCACTCACCTACAACATCATCCACTCACCTACATCATCTACTTACTTACAACATCATCCACTCACCTACAACATCATCCACTCACCTACAACATCATCTACTTACTTACAACATCATCTACTCACCTACAACATCATCCACTCACCTACAACATCATCCACTCACCTACAACATCATCCACTCACCTACAACATCATCCACTCACCTACAACATCATCCACTCACCTACAACATCATCTACTTACTTACAACATCATCCACTCACCTACAACATCATCCACTCACCTACAACATCATCTACTTACTTACAACATCATCCACTCACCTACAACATCATCCACTCACCTACAACATCATCTACTTACTTACAACATCATCCACTCACCTACAACATCATCCACTCACCTACAACATCATCCACTCACCTACAACATCATCCACTCACCTACAACATCATCCACTCACCTACAACATCATCCACTCACCTACAACATCATCCACTCACCTGTCATCCACTCACCTACAACATCATCCACTCACCTACAACATCATCCACTCACCTACAACATCATCCACTCACCTACAACATCATCCACTCACCTGTCATCCACTCACCTACAACATCATCCACTCACCTACAACATCATCCACTCACCTACAACATCATCAACTCACCTACAACATCATCCACTCACCTACAACATCATCCACTCACCTACATCATCATCCACTCACCTACAACATCATCCACTCACCTACAACATCATCCACTCACCTGTCATCCACTCACCTACAACATCATCCACTCACCTACAACATCATCCACTCACCTGTCATCCACTCACCTACAACATCATCCACTCACCTACAACATGATCCACTCACCTACAACATCATCCACTCACCTGTCATCCACTCACCTACAACATCATCCACTCACCTACAACATCATCCACTCACCTACAACATCATCCACTCACCTACAACATCATCCACTCACCTGTCATCCACTCACCTACAACATCATCCACTCACCTACAACATCATCCACTCACCTACAACATCATCCACTCACCTACAACATCATCCACTCACCTGTCATCCACTCACCTACAACATAATCTACTCACCTACAACATCATCCACTCACCTACAACATCATCCACTCACCTACAACATCATCCACTCACCTACAACATCATCCACTCACCTGTCATCCACTCACCTACAACATCATCCACTCACCTACAACATCATCCACTCACCTACAACATCATCCACTCACCTACAACATCATCCACTCACCTGTCATCCACTCACCTACAACATCATCTACTCACCTACAACATCATCCACTCACCTACAACATCATCCACTCACCTACAACATCATCCACTCACCTGTCATCCACTCACCTACAACATCATCCACTCACCTACAACATCATCCACTCACCTACAACATCATCCACTCACCTACAACATCATCCACTCACCTGTCATCCACTCACCTACAACATAATCTACTCACCTACAACATCATCCACTCACCTACAACATCATCCACTCACCTACAACATCATCCACTCACCTACAACATCATCCACTCACCTGTCATCCACTCACCTACAACATCATCTACTCACCTACAACATCATCTACTCACCTACAACATCATCCACTCACCTACAACATCATCCACTCACCTAAAACATCATCCACCCACCTACAACATCATCCACTCACCTACAACATCATCCACTCACCTACAACATCATCCACTAACCTGTTATCCACTCACCTACAACATCATCCACTCACCTACAACATCATCCACTCACCTACAACATCATCCACTCACCTACAACATCATCCACTCACCTACAACATCATCTACTCACCTACAACATCATCCACTCACCTACAACATCATCCACTCACCTACAACATCATCCACTCACCTACAACATCATCCACTCACCTACAACATCATCCACTCACCTACAACATCATCTACTCACCTACAACATCATCCACTCACCTACAACATCATCCACTCACCTGTCATCCACTCACCTACAACATCATCCACTCACCTACAACATCATCCACTCACCTACAACATCATCCACTCACCTACAACATCATCCACTCACCTACAACATCATCCACTCACCTACATCATCATCCACTCACCTACAACATCATCCACTCACCTACAACATCATCCACTCACCTGTCATCCACTCACCTACAACATCATCCACTCACCTACAACATCATCCACTCACCTACAACATCATCCACTCACCTACAACATCATCCACTCACCTACAACATCATCCACTCACCTACAACATCATCCACTCACCTACAACATCATCCACTCACCTACAACATCATCCACTCACCTACAACATCATCCACTCACCTACAACATCATCCACTCACCTACAACATCATCCACTCACCTACAACATCATCCACTCACCTACAACATCATCCACTCACCTACAACATCATCTACTTACTTACAACATCATCCACTCACCTACAACATCATCCACTCACCTACAACATCATCTACTTACTTACAACATCATCCACTCACCTACAACATCATCCACTCACCTACAACATCATCCACTCACCTACAACATCATCCACTCACCTACAACATCATCCACTCACCTACAACATCATCCACTCACCTACAACATCATCTACTTACTTACAACATCATCCACTCACCTACAACATCATCCACTCACCTACAACATCATCTACTTACTTACAACATCATCCACTCACCTACAACATCATCCACTCACCTACAACATCATCTACTTACTTACAACATCATCCACTCACCTGTCATCCAGTCACCTACAACATCATCCACTCACCTACAACATGATCCACTCACCTACATCATCCACTCACCTACAACATCATCCACTCACCTACAACATCATCCACTCACCTGTCATCCACTCACCTACAACATCATCTACTAACCTGTTATCCACTCACCTACAACATCATCCACTCACCTGTCATCCACTCACCTACAACATCATCCACTCGTCTACAACATCATCCACTCACCTGTCATCCACTTACCTACAACATCATCCACTCACCTACAACATCATCCACTCACCTACAACATCATCCACTCACCTACAACATCATCCACTCACCTAAAACATCATCCACCCACCTACAACATCATCCCTTCACCTCCAACATCATCCCCTCACCTCCAACATCATCCACTCACCTGTCATCCACTCACCTGTCATCCACTCACCTACAACATCATCCACTCACCTACAACATCATCCACTAACCTGTTATCCACTCACCTACAACATCATCCACTCACCTGTCATCCACTCACCTACAACATCATCCACTCACCTACAACATCATCCACTAACCTGTTATCCACTCACCTACAACATCATCCACTCACCTACAACATCATCCACTCACCTACAACATCATCCACTCACCTACAACATCATCCACTCACCTACAACATCATCCACTCACCTACAACATCATCCACTCACCTACAACATCATCCACTCACCTACAACATCATCCACTCACCTACAACATCATCCACTCACCTACAACATCATCTACTCACCTACAACATCATCTACTCACCTACAACATCATCCACTCACCTACAACATCATCCACTCACCTAAAACATCATCCACCCACCTACAACATCATCCACTCACCTACAACATCATCCACTCACCTACAACATCATCCACTAACCTGTTATCCACTCACCTACAACATCATCCACTCACCTACAACATCATCCACTCACCTACAACATCATCCACTCACCTACAACATCA